CCGACCACCACGGACGGCGGTGCTCCGGCCAGAATCGAGCTGTGAAAATGGATGGGTTTTCTTCGTCTCGCTGCACTGAGTCCGTAGGGACTGAAATCATCTCAATCGGTGGTCGGATGGCGGAGATATCACGACAGGAAGAAATGGGAATTTTAGAACTTCCGCCGGCGATTGCGGCTGATTCTGGCGGAGTTGGAGGTCGTGCCGCATGTCGTTGAACTCAGCTCGTCGAGATCTTTCTATTGACACCGGCGGTGTCAAAAATGGAGGTCGGAATCTTAACTTGAGTATTTGGCCATTGATGGTTTGTGTGAGAGAGAACGTGAGAGGAGAGAGAGAATGAGCGAGAATAAGAGAAAGAAAGTGCAAGAACCCTAAAAATTTCACTATATAAAGTATCTGATTAAGGCAAGATTACGTGCCTGATCTTATCCTCAATTATTTCCTCTAAACAGATTAAATTTATACTGATTAGAGGTAATTAGTTTAGCTCACGTAAGTTAATCTACTACTTACAGTCCAATATCAATTTCTGAATAATTCAATAATGTGTTATATTCTTACTCGCGTAATATTTCAAACTGTTTCAAGTCTTGAAATTAATTTTAGACTGAACAAATTCTAAATTTTAATTTTCTGTATTCTATCCCAAGAATGACGTTTCTGACAGTGTCAACTCCCGAGCTCATATTGTATCCATCTACTATAGGTATTTATCTTGTGACTTTAACCTAACTGTCTAGCAATTAAGGATTTTTTTCTTCTTTTAAAATGCCAGTGCACTTTTTTTTTATACGCCGCTAACATCGTGCTGTGCTTAGAGATTCTTGAAATTAAGATTCTCAAACTATACTTGTATTGAAAATTCTTCCGCCTTAAAATACTGCGAGAATTTATCGATCGAATTTACTTGATCGAAACATGAACTTAACATGAAATTTGCTATAGAATTTAGGAATACATATATTAATTCCATAAATCCTCCATTCACAATATAACATAATATTTTCTAAGAAAATCCTTGGCTTAAAAATACATGAATTGTATTATTTAAGGTCTGGAATTTTCTCAGTCATTACACCCTGGGTCCTTCAATTACGTAATTCGGCATTTGCTCAAGAGCTTCAACTAATAGGATATTGATATGAAGTTGTTTAAGCACGTTAAGAAAGTTCCCAAATTGCTTATCCTGTTGTTTCTTCTGAAATCTCTGAGGAAAGGGCAGTGGTGGTCTGTTCTGGCACGTTCCTGCTACTTCGTGTTGCTGCCTCAACATTGCAGAATTCTGTTTGTCAGCAGAACATAGATTCTGATGTTGCTGGTCTGAACTATGCTACTGTTGCGTTGTTGCAGCAACACTAGGTTCTACCTCATCTTGACTTTGTACAGGATTCATGTGGCCATCCTGCCTTTCTTCCTTTTGGATCGAAGAGGGCTCTCCATCCAACTCATTTTTCTCCTGTGGCTGCTCCAATGCTTTTCCACTTCTCAATAAAATGGCTTTGCAATGCTCCTTGCCTTCCCGCCTAGGATTTTCCGTATTGCTTGGAAGAGTGCCCTGCGGGTGATTAGTCAAAGCATTTACAAGTTGCCCGATTTGTGTTTCCAAGCTTCTCAAGGTTGCATCATGGCTCTGCATTTTAGCCTCGTTCTTCGTTATGTACTCCTTAAGGAAATTCTCCAAGGAATTTAAATTTTCACCCGCTTGAATCCGCATTGGTTAAGCTGGTTGTGGTAAACCCGACTGTTGAGCTGGTCTATTATAAGGGGGAGCACCACTAGAACCTGCCCCTTGATTACTCCAAGAGAGATTAGGATGTTGTCTCCATCCTTGGTTGTATTGATGGCTGTAAGCATTGTTGCGGTTGTAGTTACTCACATAACAAGCCGAAGCGGGATTTGGAGGACATTCCTCAAATAGGTGCCCTCTCCATAGTATATGCAAGAGAGTGTGAGGGCCTGGACAGAATTCACTCCAGTTGAAGTGTTCATGGTTTTGATCATGTTGGTTAAATTCGACACTTGAGCTGAAAGAGTGGTAATTGCATCTACTTCAAGAACTCCTGGTGTTTTCCTTATGGGTAGTCTCTCGGTTAGCCATTGATAATGATTTGTAGCCATCCTCTCCAGAATCTCATAGCCCTCATTGTAAGATTTTGCCAAAAGAGCACCATTAGCTGCGGCATCAACCATCACTCTCGTTTGTTCATTGAGACAATTGTAAAAAGTCTCCATTTGAATCCAATGCGGAATACCATGTAATGGACACTTCCTGAGTAGCTCCTTCAAACGTTCCTATGCCACATAAACTGACTCTCCATCACCTTGATGAAAAGAGGTAATGTCATTTCTCAACTTGACATTCTTTGTAGGAGGGAAATACTTCATAAGAAACTTCTCAGCCAAATCATTCCATGTGACAATGGACTCAGCCGGTAGGTTATTGAACCAAGTTCTAGCACGATCCCTCAAAGAGTAAGGGAAAAGTGTCAGCCTTAACGTTTCTGGAGGAACACCCGGTAGCTTGAATATGTCACTAACTTCCATGAATAACCTCAAATGTAGATGAGGATCGTCTGTCGCCATACCGCTGAATCATCCCACGGTATATAGCATTTGAAACATGACCGGTTTAAGTTCAAAGTGTTGGGCCTCAATGTTTGGCCGAACAATCACAGGATTCAACCTATCAAGAACCGGGACTGCAAAGTCTCTGATAGCTCTATCACGATCATCAACCAATAATGGTCTTTGAACTGGTTCAAGAGCGTTAAGCTGCTACCCCTGATTTAGTAAGATCCTTTGAGCGTCTTCCTCAGCCATTTCTTATATGTGAGCAAATCCTCGCTGCTCCCTTCTTCTCCTTCTCAAGGTTCTTTCAATTTCTGGGTCAGGAAGGAATAATTCAGGTTCTTGCATACAAGATGTTCCAAAAACCTGCCAACAATCAGAAACTCTGATGAAAATGAACAAAAATACTTGAGTAGTAAATTACTTTGACAATAAGATTCAAATAAGACAATCCCCGGCAACGGCGCCAAAAACTTGTTGCCTAAAATTGTGAATCTAGAATCTCGCAAGTGCACGAGTCAACGAGTAGTAAAATGATGAATAATCAAGTATCGTCCCACAGGGATTGAAGGTTTTTGAAATCAAATTACTAAGTTAATTCTATTCAAGATTTTAGAAGATAAATAAAGTTGATTTTAATATGTTAAAAACTAATAATAATCTGACTGTAAGAAAAATGAATAATAAAGAGAAATCTAATTAATAACAAAATGTGCAAATAAATTGGCCAATGTCACTGCTCGTGGCTCACAATTGTTAAACTATTTCTTAGCAAGCTGCATGTTGCTGTAGCAACAGACGGCAACAAAAACTTCCTTGTTGACCAGATTTACTGAAACAAGGATTTTCCAATCCTCTATCTACCGATCTCAAAACTAAATCCAGCAAATCCCTTTGCAAGTTTAGACTCTAAAATCAGAGAATGAAGCTCTAAATCATATGGTTATGCAAGACATAATATATTCCTCTATCATGTGAATCAAAAATCTAAAATAAGATCTAAGAACTTGCACTATTCAAGCTATGTCCACTCAACTAAATCTTCCCAGATCTAATCAAAGCTATGCTCCCCTCTTATGATTTCCCAATCACAGTTAAGGCACAAATTAAGCTCACTTGAATAAACAAAGAATAATAATCAGATCGATTTAACAACAACTAGCATTTCAATATTTAATAGCTCAACAATCTCAGCCAACATATCATAATCCCATAAAGTTATACATGGATTCAAACTCAGATTTAAAGAGAAACGTAAATGTTCTTCAACAAAGTAAAACAGAGTACTGAGAGTAAGAAAAACTAAAGTGACGAGGGGAGAATCAGAATCTCCCTTTTCCAAGGTTTCTTCTAAACTCTTCCTGCATCAGTAATGGACCTTCCTTCACGTTCAACACCCTGTGACATTTCCTTCTTCTTCTTTCGAGTACTGGAGTTGGTACTTTATCAGAAAAATGGAGGTGGTTTCCTTTTCCAAGTATAGCCGCCTCTACGTTGCAAAATATGACCAAGGACACCTTCTTTCTTCTCAGTTGCAGGTACTTATTGTACCCTAATTCCATGTGGCAGCATCTGAGAAGGCCTCCAATGAGTGCTAAATCATCATCCTTCACGGACATAAGACAGCCCATTAACCAGCTCAGGTCCAGCTGTTAGCAAAACACACGTCTGGCCCAATTCGAATTGGAGGAGCAATGCAGAGCAATGCTGACGAGGATTTCTTTACATTCCAAAACACGGGAAGCTGCTCAAAGCTCCAAAAGCCCATTTTTTTCTTAAAGTTGAGATTAACCACAAATTGCACCCACATTAGTTCTTTTTAACGCTAATCACGAGAGAGAATTTATGAAACACAATTAACTAAAAGACTATTAAGAAGACTAAAAATATAGGAGAAAACTAGTACTACTTACCCTCTAGGTAATAATTTAAGTCTGGGAAATGCTCAATTAACTCTATTTTCATAGAGTTATCATCTACGTAAAAAACTTGCTCTGCTTGAGATGCAAGTATGAAAGGTTCATTTTCGGACCACATGTCTTTAACAAAAACACTTATTCTATTTTTGTAGTGTTGAATTCTTTTCTTCCCCGGACGAGTGTCAAACCATAGACATTTAAAAAGCACAACAGAATTGTCGTTCAAGTAGGACAGTTCATAAATATCCTCCAAAACTCCATAATACGTTAGGTTATCAGGTCTGCAAACACAAACACCACTATTTTGAGTACTTCGATTCATATCCCGATTGCGTATCAGAAACTTGACACCGTTCACCACACAACCAGGTTAACTTCGACATGAGAAGCTTGAACCACGTGAAAGCGAAAGTATTTGATCATTCGCTTCTGGGTCATTCTGCTGTCGAATATTGAAAATCTGTAAGGAGACATGAATTCATTTTAAAATGAATTTTTATTGACTTAACAATGTTAATGCAAATTAATTATAAATGTACCTTATTCTTAAACCATTTTGAAAATTCTTTCGATTGAATTTCATCCAATGGTATGGTTCGACCACTGTCATCAATCTCCCTCTTATGGTTATTGTTTAACAGTGAATGAAAATAAGGGACATGATTGTATGCGACACAATCAATGAACAATTAAGTAACAAAACTGAAAGTAGTACTTACTCAATGAACTGCTGAATTTTTGGACAGTTCTGTAGTACGTACCACTCGGCTTTCTCTCGCAAATTAGTATCCAAAGTGATGGGGGTCATCTTCCCAATTGTCCGACAGCGAGTTTCGAATACAGAAATCTTTTTAACAGTACGATCTTCATCGTCTACCCAATTTCTGGCCAGTTGGTTAAACCGTGTTTCAACTCCAGTTAAATACAATGAACAAAAAGTCAAAGCTTCATTCACAATGTATGCCTCAGCAATTGAACCTTCAGGACATGCACGATTCTTGACATATTTCTTTAACGATCCAAGAAAACGTTCAAACGGATACATCCATCTTAAGTGAACTGGTCCTCCTCGAGTGGCTTCTCCAGGCAAGTGTATAACTAAATGTACCATTATGTCAAAAAATGCAGGAGGAAAAATTGTTTCTAACTTGCATAAAATAAGCACAATATCTTATTGAGCTTTCTCTAAATCACTTTTTCGCAATGTCCTTGAGCATATTAACTCGAAAAAATTACTTAATTCTGTTATTGCATCAATGAACTCTTACTTCATGAATGGACGTATCCTTGTAGGCAATAATCACTGCATTATAATGTGACAGTCATGTGATTTTAGCCCAGTAATTTTATTCTTCCCTTCGATCACGTTTTTCTTTAAATTTGAAGCAAATCCATCAGGAAACCTTACTGATTTTAAAAAGTCACAAAACTTTTTACCATCGTTTGGAGATAGTGTATAAGATGCATGTGGTTTCATCCAACGATCACCGTCTTTGTACAAATGCAACTCCTTGAGCACCCCCATATGTTGCAAATCGATTCTCGCCTTGTCCGTGTCCTTACTTTTTTTGTCAATGTCTAGAATTGTGCCTAATAAGCTATCGCATACATTCTTCTCAATATGCAAGACATCTAAGTTATGACGTAACGACAATGACTTCCAATAACGTAACTCCCAAAAGATACTCTTCTTTGTCCAATTAAGCTCGCTTGCATGTCTTTTTCGCTTCTTACCACCATACTTTTCATGTTTACCAGGTAATCTGAGGGACACATTTTGTAACTGAGCTAAGATTTGGTGAACAGATTTTCGAGCTGGTGGAGGTAGTTTTTCAACCTTACCATCAAACTTTTTAGTTTTTCTCACCCCATTTTTAATAGGAAGCCATTGCCGATGGCCAACAAAACAAGTCTTACTTGTTATCTGCTTTGAAGAGGTTGAATCGTTGCAAGTTGGCCATGCTAAATAGCCTTGACCACTCCATCCAGATAAAATACTACAAGTAGGAAAATCATTAACTACCATGAGCAACATGGCCCACATCTAAAATGATGTATTCAAAACTGTGTCACGTACAATTACTCTTTCATTCCAAAAATCTTTTAGCTCATTCACAAGGGGCCTTAAAAAGACATCCATATCCTTTCCGGGTGCATTTGGGCCAGAAATCAACAATGTCAACATCTTATAAGGATCCTTAGTGCATAACCACAGAGGTAAATTGTAGGTCGTTAAAACCACGGGCCACATACTGTATAAGAGTCTCATGTTCCTGAACGGATTGAAACCATCAACGGCCAACCCCAAGCGAACATTTCTCAGCTCACGTGAAAACTCATGATACTTTTCATCTATCTCCTTCCATTCATTACCATCGACTGGATGACGCATTAAATCCTCATCATTTGAATGCCCACGCTGGTGCCACGTCATATCTTTAGCTGTGTGATGAGAACCGAACAGATGCTTCAACTGATCTGTTAAGGGGAAATAGCGTAGTACTGTTCACTGCACTTGTTTAGTACCCTTTGTCTTTTTTTTTTCTTCCAATGGGATGTTTTACATACGGGACACATTTGTAAATCAGCGTTCTCCTTCCAAAACAAAGCACAATCGTACTCCCAGACATGAATTGTTTCGTAACCCAGTCCAAGTTTACTCATGAGCTTCTTCGACTCATAATGAGAAGAAGGTAACTTCACATCCGGGAATGCATCTTTCAATAGATTTAACAGAGCATCCATACACTCATTAGGCCACTCGTATAACACTTTTAAATGTATCAATTTCACTAAGAAATTTAAAGATGAATACTTAGTGCAACCCGGATACAATCCCACCTGGAGCTCAGAAAGTAGATCCTTAAATTCATCGTACTGTGCATCTTCTAGATCCACATGCGTCTCATCCAACATTTCATTGTCATCATTAATCCCAGCAACGTCTTCTAAGACTTCAAACATCTCGTCTACTAGTTGATTAACTATTGGGTTAACACCGGAAACCGCTTCTACTTCACCATGGTGAATCCATGTACTATACAATGGATCAAAACCAAATTGATGTATATGCGCTCTCACAGTTTCTACTAGATGCATTTCATGGTTTCTACATTTCACACAAGGACAACTGATATGGCCAATTGAAGTTGCATAATTTTTGGCGACGTCAATAAAAGCAGATAACCTATTCCAATATTCATCCGACAATCGGTTCCTCAAATAAGTCCAACTTTTGTCAATCGGCATTTGAACTATAAACAACAACAGACATAAAAATTTATTAGTGTGTTTAATTAATTTAATTCTACTCTTTATTAACACAATTAAATTTTATTAATTAAAGTTTCTTAATGAACTTATTAAAATTCTCGTTTTCTAACTAAATTTCGGCAGCATAACGACTTATTTTTCATATGATCCAAAAATCAAAACCTGCAGAAAAATAACTTTAAAAGATTTCGGCACACCATAGCTGCAAGATGTGCCACCCAGAACAAGAATCATAAACATATACTAAATTTCAACAATATAAGAAAATCATAATTCAAATATTGTCATCATAATCCTGATTCATACAACCAAAAACTACAACAATTTTAAACTAAATAAATATATAAAAAATTTACAAAGTTCAAACCCACTAAACGGGGGCTGAAAATAGCAGGATTACGTCGGAGGAACTGTGCAAACAGTGACGGAGGTGAAAAATCAAACGCCTACATCAAAACAAAACATCGAACATAATTTTCAAACACGAAAAGTAACAATTTATAACATCTAGAGTAACATATAGACACAATTCTTGATTAATTAAATTCTCATAACCATAAAAAATGACTAAACTCGAACAAAAATCCATAACATTTTCTATTTTCTATTTCCTTCTTCCATTTACTCAGCAAGTAACAACAATCCCTAACAAAAATCCCTAAAAATCTCTAACATTCTTCGAATCAATGCAAGTAACCAAACAAAAACAAAATTTACAAAAAGAAAAAAAAATAAAAAAACAAACCTGAAATTCTGTTTCGAGCGGGGCGGCAAGGGTGGGGGCGGGGCGGCGGCCGGAGATGGAAACAAGAGAGAGGGGATCAGAAGAGAGAGACAGAGAGAAAAGGGAAGAGAGAGAGAAATAAGGGAAGAGAGAGAAGGGGAGAGAGAGAATGGAAGAGAGAGAGAGAAGACGGCTGGTGGCGGCGGTGAGGGGAAGAAGAGGGAGAGAGAGTTAGCAGGACAGAGAGAGAGACTGAAATCGGGGGAAAGTGAAGAGGAAGAAGTTAAGGTATAATATATCAGACTTATTTGCGACGACATTGTCGTCGCAAATAAATTTAAAATGTCATCGCAAATACCCCACATCTGAAATTATTTGCGACGACATATTGTCATCGCAAATAATCATTTCCTGTGTTTATTCTTGGTCAAATGTGTATAGCTTATTTGCGATGACAAAGAGAAAATATCGTCGCAAATATAGTGATATTATTTGCGACGACACGTGTCGTCGCAACTAATAAGATATTTGCGATGACAAGTCGTCACAAAAAATAGATTCCCTTTGGTGGCAAAAATCCGCGCCATTGGAAATTGCGCGCTTAAACTATTTGTGACGACATTGAACTTATTAGCGACGACATGCTTAATTTATTTAACGGAGATTAATTGTGACGACATGTCGTCGTAAATAATGAAATATTTGCGACGACATATGTCGTCGCAAATAATGTCATCGCAAATGACCTTTATTGCTGTAGTGAGTTAAAAGGATTATAATTAAGACTAAAGGACAAAAGTCTAAGAACAATGTATTCAAAGGGTTAGTTCACAAATTTTCTCAAAACTTTGCTATCCTCCCCTAAAGTTCTTAAGGTTTTAACCCATTTTAATGTTCAAAACTCAATGCAAAGGTTCCTACCAACTATTTTTATTCATATTTTTTTGAAAACTCATAGTTCTAATAATGTTAGCAAACACTACTGCAAACTTTATTATCTATTTAGTCCTTGCACTACTAAAAACCAGTTCGAATCACAGCAAATGAATATATGGGTTCAAACTCAAAGGTTAAAGTCCAAACTCTAAAGATTTAGGCCCTATTCCTTTTACGGATTCGAGTTTTGCTATAGTAGAAAATTTTTAGAAACAGTCACATTTAATTTTTTTGCTATAGTAAAAAGCTCTCACATAAAGTCACATCTTAACTCCAATTAAAAATTCGAATCAGCGAACTAAACGGGCCCTTAAACCACACAATTCAACCTTGCGAAGCAAATAGGGTCATAGTAGAATTCTTCTCAAATTCAGGCTGCCATGTGACATACTGCGTCTCGAAGAATGGGAGATGAATACAAGATAGGTAGCTCGATACCACTGTGCGATCAACCATATTGCTATTTTGTGCCAAAAAAAAGTGTAAATTATTTTTGGCATATTAAAATTCATATATAAAGACAAACGAGGTTGGTAAACAAGGGATTGTTTATTTTTTTATTTTTTATTTTTTTTTTCCAGATCTTATGCTTTCCCATCGTAATACATGTGCCTATCAGTAAACAGAAAAAAAAAATACATCCATTGTCCACCACTTATTTTACCCAACATATTGCACACAATGATATATATATGTGTATATATGTATATATATTCAATGTAACAAGCTATTCCCGAAATATTTCAGAAAGTTGTTTGCTAAACTCATAAATAATTAATGGAATTACCTAAAAGGAATTATTGCGATAAATATTGGTGTGACTAGTGTAATTAGCCGCAAGTTGTGACTAAATGTTACTTTTAGCACAGGATAACTAAGTTGCGACTAATTAGGTCATCAATAAAACACGTTTTTTTTAGTGGTACGTAGCAGTTCACCTTTACGACTAATAAACAATAATTTACGTGGTTAAAAATTATGTACTTTCATGGGAAAATGATTTTACCGGTAGTGAAAAGAAAATTCAGGTGGAAAAAAAAAAACTTTTTATGAGTCTTAAATATAACATTTACACCATAAATTACTATTTATTTTAAATAGTTTTAAAATATGTTATTTACTTCCTTTTCTTTTTAGTTTGGCATTGCTCCTGTTTGCAATCATTTTAAAATTTGGGCCCGTATTGCGGTTAATATCTTTATATTTCCGATTGATCATGACAACTAAATTAACACAAGGGTGTATTAAAATTCTTCACAAGTGACGTGCTGCGTCTAGAAGTATGGGAGACGAAGTAAGAGACACGATAGGTAGCTCGATACTACTGCTGCGATCTAAGTCTTATATATATTGCTATTTTATTTGGAAAAAAGAAGTAAATTATTTTAGGCGTATTAAAATTCATTTATAAAGACCAACAAGGCTGATAATATGCTGTTTATTGTACCTTTAAAAAAAAAAAAATACATAGTACTCCATAATATATATTAATGTACCTTTCATGGAAAAAAAAAAAATTTAAGTGTGAAGTTCACATTTTGTGAAGTAGTCCACACATTAGTCTGTGTTCACACTCATGACAAGTAATTAGCGGCGACATCTTTAGGCCTCGTTCATTTCGCTGATTCGAGTTTAGAATTTGAGTTTTATTACAGTAAAAAACTCTCACAAACAGTCACATCTAACTTTTTTGTTACAGTGAAAAGTTCTCACATAAAATCACATCTCAACTCAAATTAAAAATTCGAATCAACGAACTAAACGGGCCTTTAATAACGACATTTATCCTCACGAAAACTCGTGTCGCAACAAGTGTTTGACTACCGTGTTAAAAATATTTTCTCCATTGTGAGACTCTGTCGTCGCTAAAAGTGGTGGCGACCAAAGTTACCCATTGCCGCCAAAAAATAAACCTTTAGGGTCGTCACTAAACGTGTTAGCGGTGAACCCTATCCCTTGCCGCCAAAAATAGATTAAGAAAATAACTTTTAACTATGACACGTCATAGCTAAAAACTGATGAGAACAGGACTTTTGGCGCCTAAAACTTTTCAGGGACTTTTAGAATTGACGACTTCCGTTGTGGCAAAAATCAAGGTGGTAAATTTTGACTTTAGAAGATATTTTTGAGACTTTTTACGACGAAAAAAGTTATTTTGTTGCTTTTTGCTTAGCTTTTAATTTAATGACTATAATAAAAATGACGTCACTATGCCGACTTATACGGACGATTTCGGAGTTTTAACGGCAACATTTGTGGTTACTAAAAAGTGTTCTCTCTCGAGACTCTCGCTCTCTCTAAACCTTCTCTTTCTCTCATTTCATTCTTTTTTCTTTTTTTGTAATTTAATTTTGTTTGCTTACCTTTTAGAAAAAAAGAGGGTTTATTTTTTATCTAATATATACACATGAAAAATAATAATTAAAAGAGATCAAAATTAATCTTGTGTAAAATAATTAGTTAAAACGCGTGTTACATGCAGTATTCAGTATATCATATTTTTTAGACACATATATTTAGAAAAAAAGAAATATTAACAAAGAAAAATATTTAAGCAAGCACATATTTGAAATTACTTAAATGAGAGCATATTAGAGGGTAAAGTTTAATAAGGCACAATTAGAAAACAGAAGATATAAAAGGATCAAAATGTACGTTTCAAATTAGGTAAAAGTGTTTTCAATAAATCATGATTATAAACGTAAGAACTTTTTTATAAAGAGATAAATGAAATATTCTGTATGTTTTATCCTATGTTTCGTCTGTCCTTATTCAAAAATTCAGTCGCACTTAATATAGAGGATATAAAAAACAATAAAAAAAAGGAAAGCGTACGTTAACATGTGGCCTCTATAGAAGTCAACACATGACTTCTTTAGAAATCAACTCCTCCGCGTTTTTAAGTATGTATAGATAAAGATGGACAAGAGATGAGTAACTTGGGAGTAGTTGTCAACTAACAAACTTTTTAAAACATATCATAAATTATATCACTATGTCTTAATATTAAATTGAATAAATGTATTTTTTTTATTTTTTGAATACGTAATGTTTTAATGAGCGGTTCTTGCTATTGAAAAATAATGGTGATCTTTTTTTCTCTAAAAAAGAAAGGGTGGTACATTAGGAAAAATAGACTATAAAATCAAATGACAAATCAATAGATTAGGAATTACTTATGTACATCAAGAGATTGTTTAATGGCCTCGATAAGTTATCAATGTACGTAGCATTATTTTAAGATACGGTCTTTGATGGTTGTCGTCGTTTTTGGCCTCACCTCGCAAAAAAAAAAAAAAAAAAAAAAAAAAAAAAAAAAAAAAAAAAAAAGAAGAAGAAGAAGAAGAAGAAGAAAGGTTCGATCACTTCTCGATGTCTATATAAAAGGGCGAGTTGCCGGCACTGCAATGCACACTCATCATTTCAACAATTGGCTAATTGCACTACTCTTACGAAATCATCACATACTTGTCATCCAAAATGTCGCTCACGAGGGAAGAACTCCTAGGCAGTAACAAATGGGAGGGCCTTCTGGAGCCGCAGCTGAATCTGAGCCTCCGGAAGTTCATCCTCCGCTGCGGAAACCTCTGCGAGGCCACCTACGACTGCTTCAATTCCAACGTCCTCTCTCGCAACTGCAGAAACTCCCGCTACCGCAAGGAAACCTTTCTCCACGACGTCGTGCTCGAAGAAGCGCCTCCAATTACCAAGTCGTCGCATTCCTCTACGCGACATCCGGTATCGGTGACCCGACAGATAACGTTTTCTTCCACCCGGGCCCAGCGGTCCGTGAGGCATGGGACCGCCAATCCAACTGGATGGGCTACGTGGCCGTCACCACGGACGAGGTAAGCCGTGCCAATGGCTTCCGTGAGGTCTATGTTGCCTGGCGTGGAACCGTCACCCCCTCTGAATGGTATACCAACATCTTCAACTTAAGCCGCGAGTCCTCCAAGCGTCTGTTTTCTCCTTATCGTCGGGAAGTTCATGGTGGCGAGCCTAAAGTCCACGGTAGCTGGCTCTCGATTTACACCTCGATGAACAAGGATTCGATTCATACGAAGCAAAGCGCGAGGCAGCAACTCCGTGACGTGATCAACCAGATAAGAGAGACGTACACGAACGAGAAGCTCAGCGTGGTGGTGACGGGGCACAGCCTGGGGGGAGCCCTGGTGACTCTGAGCGCTTTCGATCTGGCCGAGCACAAAGTCGCCGGAGAGGACGTCCTGGTCTCGGCTTTCGTCTTCGGCTGTCCGCAAGTCGGCAAGGAGGATTTCAAGAAGTTGGTGGACGATCACTCAAATCTCAAGATTTTGCATATCCGTAACAAAAAGGACATAATTCCTGGCTTGCCTGATGGAGACCAATCGATTTACGTCCCTACACAGACGGCTGAGCTGGTGGTCGATTCGGACAAATCGCAGTACTCGAAATTGAAGTCGTATTTTTCGCTAACCCAAATGAAGGGAAATTGGCACAACTTGGAGGCGACGATGCACTTGGTGGCGTGGTGGAATGGGAAAGACAATGAGTTTGACAGTGCTCCGAAGGCCGATAGGAGCTTGGCTTTGGTGAACAAGTGGTGCAACTATCTCAATGATGACTACAAGATTCCGGAGTCTTGGTGGATTGAGAAGAACAAAGGAATGATGTTCGACCAGATCAGTGGAGACTGGATTTTGGATCCACCCACAACCCCGCGCGCTGATCGAAACTAAATATATTAATCGTACATGTGACCTTATATATATCAAAAAGTAAGATAAAATAAAACAAATAAAAAGGCCAATTATGTATGTGATGTCTTGTGGTTATGTATAACTTGTTGATCAGTGATCATCAAATAAAGATCAAGACTGAATACACTCTTTACTTAAGTTTAAGTCCTACCAAAAACAATAATTTCCCTCTTCAACTAACTATATTTGGGGTTTCATTTCTGCTGCATGACTCCATAACTAAATTAAATTCACGACATGCATGTCAATTAGAAAATCACTTAAAACATGTACCTTATTCCAATGGTTCAAAACAAAATAAATAAATAAAAACTGGAAACTAAATACTAATTAAATAGCATCGATAACATCAGTCTGCTGATGATATATTCACTCAAAAATTTGTTATGCAGCGGAAGCGTATAAAAAAAAAAGGGATAAATATCTATTATCTATTTATTCGCGTAGAATATCAGAAGACCCGTTGATTTGATCAGACTACTGAAAAATAAGACTTCTATAAATCCGTTGATTCGCTCACAAATATCAAGAAAATATGCATCAATCACTCGTTGATTCAACAGAACATCGAGAAAATTAGAATAGATATCTTGAAAGAACTCTCGAAATGCATAATTTTATTAATCTTTGAAAGAACTAAAATAACAAACTATGATCTCCTATTTAAAGAATACTACAATTCAAAATAGAAAAGGAAAATAATTCAGAAAGGAAATTAATTTGAAAAAAAGAAAAGGACACTGAAACTAATCCAAAATATTCATAATTTAAAATTCATAACAATTCAGAAATAAGACTAGAAGATATCGACAGACAACTAAAATAAATTAAAATACTAATTTAGAATTAAATCGGCAACTTCTATCTTCAAATCCTCATCTCATCTCTTCGCGCTGCATCAATTTCTGCATATAAAATTATGATTCTCTGTTTATAATAGTCGGGGGCGTCAGAGTTAACACAATAATTAATCTTAAGCAGTTATCAAATTCTTATTAATTGATTTTCTAAAATTGAGCGAGTCCAGAATTTGTTTTGCTGAAACTTAAGGTTCAGCTTTATGATTTAAGACTCTTTAATGGCTAGCCTACGAAAAGATATTATTGCGGGAGTTCTCAATCCTTAAAGAACATTAATTTAGAGTCCAAGAACCAACAGATCGAAGTAATACAAGAAATATACCCAGTACAGAATAGATAACTTAGACAACAAAATTACGTGGTTAAATCCATGGAAGATCTACATCCAAGTGGAAAATGTCTCAGCAACTTCTGTGATTAAAATAAAATAATAAAAAAAGTCATGAAAATAACTTTGAGCCTCCCTAAGGATGTTCACCGGCGGTTGGTTTTTTTTTTAATAGAAATCACCAACCAAATCAAAAAATAAAATTTTCAAATCATTCATAAGCGGTTTAGTGGTTTGAGCTCAAAACTATAAAAAATTAGTACAATAATTATAAAATCATTAATCCATGAAAATAAGGTTCAAATTAACAGTATAATTAAAAAAACATCTAAAAGTTAACCATTTACGGTTTAATACAAACCAATGAAAAATGTAGTAGGGCTTTTTTATGGTGTAAAATCTCTGTTATATATGAACAATAAAATTTAATAAAAATAAAGTAACATGTAAAACATTATATATATGTATTTTTAGGCGGATTATTAGACGATTTGAGGAGTTCAAACACTAATTAACCACTTAAAAAATTAGAATAAAACACTGACCAAACCATCTAATAATTAAAAAATAATTAATAATTTAGTTCGATTTGATTTGTGTTTGGCGGTTTCGAGAGTGTGGCGGGCTTTCTACACACCTCTACTCTACAAGATCACCAAATCCTTCCACAGAAAAGGTTAATTCGTTGTGCCTTCTAGTTCCATGCGTATGCTTGTTGGTTTGTTCGTGGACTTGACTATTACAAGTCAACGTATGATTGTTATCTCTTTCGAGTATTAGACTACAATAGTAATTAGTTTGTTCAATTATCGAGATTAATTCTCGCCACAAGAAAATTGAATTCAATACCATTATCCTATAACAAATACACCCATTGTAATGGACCGAGGTCCTCTATTTCACTCTTCCCTATCTCATTTTCTGTCCCTCCAATAAAGATATTTCGCCAACTCATAATATACAGCTTTGTCATGTGTGTCTGTTTTGCGATAACGACGTCATCTCTCCATTGGGCATATAATCAACAGACTCTCTCTCTACCGAAATGTTTACGTTTTTTTAGGGTTTTTCTTTACATTTGTGTGGGCACACGATTAATTTAAGTTGTTTTTAAAATCAGGGGGAGTCTCAGTTTGCTCATGAACTGCGTTTGTTGCACTACAATCAAATAGATATTATATAAAAGGCAGATATTTTTATACATGTTTTTGTATGAAGCCTATGTAAGTGTTCAGTACAACAATCTAGTCAGATAGTGGGCCATGAGCGATCAAATAGGCTCGTTCATTCTTGATTCGATTCAATTTAAATCCCACTAGGGGGTTTAAGAATTAATTGAATTAAACGTGAATGAGTGAGAGAGAATTCAATTTAAAAAACTTTACATTCACCTTTTGGAAGCTCAAAATCCTTCATTTCAGTCTTAAAAGGCCCAAAACCAAGTCCCATGCCTTGACAAACTTTCTCCACCTCAAAAGCCTGAAAAACTCATCATTTTTAGCTCATTTGCAGGCTCTTCTCGCTACCATGCATGCCTAATGTAGCACTTTCCGTATCAGTCATGTTTTCTTCAAGAATTTCTCTGTATTAGCTTGCCCGTTCAGAGCATTCAAGTTCGTTCGAAACAACTTAGGTGACAGGGCAAGTATAATTGCTGCTCAGCCACTCTCGTAAAAACAATTTTCAATGAAAGTCTGACCCGAGATCAAGCCTCCAAAGAGGAAAGTCAACGGAGCACCAAGTTGAGTCAAATACTCATAAAAATTTCACGTCTGAAAACATTGTGTCAGCCCAAAATTAGGAACTTGTTCTCTAAGTATTTCCATTTTTAATGCCGCATGTTGTCTGCTACAATAAGGTAGCTGGGAATGTGCTCCAAATGGAATAGTGTGTGCAGTGCTCCATCAGAGTGCTGCTGAGATTTTAGGCGTTCTCTCCATTGGAAGTAATCAAGCTCTGAGGAAGCACCGATCCCACCATGGCTTAACCAAAACCATACCAAAATCCCTTTTTCCTCATGTCACCTGACGTACCATACTTCCTGGTTATTTTGTCCTCTAAAGCAAATGAACATGGTTTTGGCTAAGGAACTTCCTCCATTAACCGTTTGCGTTCTCTCCCACACCATACGCTCATATAGAGGTCTTTATAGATATTTTGCTATAGCTACCATGGAGTTGGAATCGCAACAGATGTCGCTTCTGGATACTGCTGTCCTTTGGGTCATCCGGGTTTAGCCTCATCCTCATCATCATTTTGGCCATCTTCAACGTCAAAGCTACCTTTAAAATCCTACTGGCCTCTGTCACCCAACGTACTCAGGCTGCCCGTACCAGCACAAGAAGCCAGGAACGATGAACCCTCCACGTCGATAGGCCCTCGCTAAAGGAGCCCTAACATTTTGCGACTCCATTGGGGACGCTAGAATGGCTCCTTCCAAAAGCAATAGATTGAAGACCATGCTCTAAGGAGATTCATAAGACACGTTGGTTTCCATATCGAACTTCTTTTTGAAACTTCGAGGCTTGCAATATTGTTTTATGCAAGGGGGAGTATCAATTCTATTTGTGATGTCACTTGGGGGCTTCACCATAAGAAGAACTCCCAACATAGAACCAAGTAGAAAGATTGAAAGAAGACATTTAAGGAGATCGCTGTCGCCAATATCAAGGCCACGAATGATGCCTTAAACTCTCTCATACATGAGAGGCATGAAGTGGGAAACTAAGATACACCCTCACCCGACAGAGCGATTCTCCCCTATAGACAACCAAAGAAGTGCAATAAGTGACTTTAATTACCAAAGAAGCCAAAGGTTAAACATCAAAGGAAGCAAGAGGAGATTTTCTCACTCATATTCATGACACTTAGGGGCTTCACCCAACCATGAGGTGGACTCTCTGACACAGGAAGTACTATTGGAGGAAGATCTTATGGATTTCTCAAATGTCTCTTCCACAAAAGAGAAACCCGGAGTGCACTTCTCAAGAGTCGATAATATCACTTAAAATCATTCAAATGAAGCAAATGCTGGACATAAACCATCTCCAAACAGCAGGAAATGTTGGACACAAATAATCTCTGGACATAAGTAAACACATCTCCAACCAGAAACAAACGCAGTACAACAAGAATAGTGGACAAGAGGAAAGGTTGCTCTAATTGACATCAAAGATCAAGCGATCATCGTATACATACCATCACTCGACGCAGGATATCTATGGTGAGAAGCAATCATCGGATGAAAACAATCATTGAGCACGAGCCATCTCAAAAAAAAAAATTCCAGATGCAATTCCAAACATTAGCCAACTCCATATGCAAGTTATCTCAAAAAAGGAAATAACCTCCGGGCGCGGACAAAAACCACCTCTAGACAAAAGAATCGCCTCCAAATTCATGCTATCTCCGAATATAGACGAAAACAACAACTGGATTCAAGCTATTTCCATGAAAAAGCAGTCACTGGACACGTCATCTCCGAATAGAAGAAATCAACAGAAAGGAATCATCTTTTTGCTGCGGATCTTCTCAAAAAAAAAAAAAAAAAACCAACCACATGCAAACACGGAGGATAGCAAAATCATGGTTTTCAAAGGTTCCTTATAATGACCCTGCAGATTGGTAGTCACTGAAACTAACTTTAGCATATACTTTCTGAAACTCCCCAAAATTTGTGGGACATTTTTTTTAATGCTATATAGAATGTTGTAGCATTTTTTTTTTAAATGCTGTATAGAATTGTAATACCCTGAAGAATTAAATGAGATTACTTAAGGTAATTGAGATTA